GGACTCACCGCATCTGTCTGTCTAAACCCTAAACCCTAAACCCTAAACCCTAAACCCTAAACCCTAAACCCTAAACATCGAGGGAAGGGGAGACCGAAGTCTGCAGCCCTGCCCCACTCGACTTTCCCACACCCAGTTTAGGGGTTTGGGGGTTCAGGGTTGGGGTTTAGGGTTTAGGGTTTAGGGTTTAGGGTTTAGGGTTTAGGGTTTAGGGTTTAGGGTTTAGGGGTTTGGGGGTTCAGGGTGGGGGTTTCAAAAACGCTTGGGGGCTTGGGGCTTCAGGCTTAGGACTGCTCCACTACACGCAGGGTATTTTGTGTCGCTTCCTGCTGAAAGCTCGCTGAAGCCCTATTAGATGCCCTCAACCAAATATGAACATGCGTCTCACATCAATGCCGAACAACCCAAAAGCACCAGAGCCCCAACCAACGCCTCCATCTGAGTTCGAGTTCACAGTTATGGCATACACCTCATCACCCTAAACCCTAAACCCTAAATTAAACCCAAAGCCAGGCACTTCATGGGCCCCCTGTGACAACACTCGACTTGTGGTTTACAGCCGTCCAGGGGAGGAGGGCCAGGTCTCCTTTCGCTTCAAGGGTTTAGGAGTTTAGGGTTTGGGGCTTGGTTTCAAGGGGAGTTTAGGGTTGAGGGTTTAAGAATTTTTAAGGTTTAGGTTCTGAGAGGCTTTAGGGGTTTATCATTGCGCCCTTACCAGAAACCCCAATATATGAACCGCGAAAGCGGGCTCAGAGTGGCAACGGCAGTCATATTCGGGACTCAGAGGCCGGCTCCAACCCTTCTATGATTTCCCAGTCGCCCCTAAACCCTAAACCCTAAACCCTTCGCCCCTAACTAAACTCCCTTAGCCCTGGTCCTTGCCGAAACCCCTTAACACTAAAACCATCTCAGGCCCTTCACGGCTGAAGCCCTAAACTCTAAAAACCCCTTAAGCCCTAAAACCCCACTTCAACTTAACACCCCTTAGGGACTAAACCTCGAGCTTTGATTATACACCTGACTGATGAATTGACTAGAGCCAGCTACTGTCCGTTAGCATATAATAGTGCTCCCTTCCTGTATAGATGCCGTAGTATTTTGCCACCGGAACGCTTCTAACTGTTCACGGTCCCTTAAAAGAAGCCTTCTAAAACCCTACTACAGGAGCTCTAGAGGAACTATTCTAAGGGTAGTACTGTAAGTAAGGTCCCTTGTTGCCAGGATGGGACTTCATCGAGGTGACCCAAGATCCCACCGTGCGGATCTCAGCGGGCCAGTGGGTACGATCAGGGCAACGGTTACATGGTACCGCATAGGGGTTTAGGGTTTAGGGTTTAGGGTTTAGGGTTTAGGGTTTAGGGCATAGCCCACTTGCAAAGTCCCTGACCCTTCAAATTTGGGTTTTGTTACTGAGCTTGCAGGGTGTTCAAATGCGGAGTACCGGAAGAGCAAACAGAAGAAACGGAGTGGCGCTTTGTGCAAGCAAGCCGTTTCGAGTTGCATCGCTGGCAGCTACTTTAACCTACCAAAACCTACTTTTTTGTAGGGTCCCTATAAATTCCATATTGTGGGGCCTGGCGGCACGGGCCGACATGGCCGTCGCCTCTCCGATTCTCGCCCCTTCCCCCATGACCTTCAACCACCCCCCGCGCGCGCGCGCGCGCGTGCGCCGTACGCGAGCATCAGCAGCAT